AGGGAGGGAGGGAGGGAGGGGAGAAGGAGGAGGAGGGGAGAGAGAGGAGGACAATGATGATGAGGAGGAGGACAAGGAGGACAAGGCTCTACAAGGTACAAAAGCCATGGGGTTAATATTATCCCTTAGTTATTGCAGACTGATCGGGTCCTCAATCTCCCAAACAAATAAATAGTGAAGGATAAAAGAAACAAAGGCTACAACTTCAAGGCTCCAGGAAGATCAAAGCCCTCTCACAAAATTTGAAATTGTCTGGAGGTTAAGACCAAGATCTTCTCTGAGTGGCCAGTATCAGTTATCAGAACAAGGGAGGGGAATACCAAGAAGGGCAGAACCACTGAAGGACTTCCCCAAGCAAGGCCTTATGTTAATTTATGATAGACATGTTAACTCCAGGAAGGTCTCCACCCAGAAGTGAGATGTCTGAGGCTAAAGCTTTTATCTCATTGGAGCTAGTTGTCCTTAGTTGTGACCTGGTCTTATCCTTTGAGCTTTCACATCTTCACCCACCACCACAGGGCTCAATAGGAACTAATGAATTATAGAAGTTCACTTACTGTGAGTCCTCTGCCCATCTCCAGGCAAGGGGCCTAGGTCTTGGACAGACTCACAAGTAAACACGGAAAGCCAGTTGGTTCATTTAAGTCCTGCTCAGTCCTGCTTTGTAGTGTTCTCCATCACAAGGCCGCATATGAGATATGATCTAAAGTCACAGCGAAACTTCAAATTTTAAAATTACTACAATAAAAGACACACTGCTATTAATCCTCCTCAAAGTCTTACCCTTGCTTTTGAAACACTTATTCCATGGTTCCTGCCACTTTTTGAAGGAGTTCTGGAAGTCCTCTTTCATGAGTGTCTTCAGTAGTGTGACTATGGTTGCTTCAATATTATGAATAAATTCAACCCCTTTATCTTTCATGCTCATTTTGACCTCAGAGAAGAAGCAGAAATTTATAGTGCCAGATTCAGTGACTAAGTTGGATGAAGACACACAGTGATGTTTTTGATAGAAACCACCATAAAGTTTTTAAATCATTTGAGCATATTAAGGCATCTATGAAAAGATACTCATGAAAGAGGACTTTCAGAACTGCTTCAGAAAGTGGCAAGAACAATGGGATGTGTGTGTTTAAAGTGAAGAAGAGGATTTTCATGGCAGATGAATGACAATGTATATTTCATTGCAATAATTTTTAAGTTGTATTTAAACACTTACTATAATCTTTTATCACATTTCATAGCTCTACAAAGACACTCATAGTGTTTTGGAGTACAACACAATGACAAGATTCCCATCATATTAAAAATATTACTATGATTACAATGAAGAAACTCCAAAAAGTAATGTTTGCTCAAGACTATGTTTGCCTCAAAGAGTACCCATATAGGACTAGCAGATTTCAGAGTATAGTGGCATTATTTTTATGAAGTCTATGTAAATGTCAGGTGAAGCTGCCTGTATTTGAGTCAAGTTGTGGCTATTTTTGCAGTTAAGGAAATTCAGTTACTACCAGACAAAAATTCATGGTTTATTCATTTGCTGTCACATACACATTTCAACCAGAAAATTTCTTTTCAGTATAGAAAAATATAAACTTGTCAGTGTTCTGAACAACTCTCCACGATTTAAAATAAAACTTTAGGATTCCCTTGGCTTGCTGAGCCACTCAAAATTCTACTGTGAAGGCAAAGTGCTACCAATGATAGGGACAAAAACAAATCATAGCATATTTCCAAGATAGTAAGGCATGTTAGAATGTAATTTCCACAGAGCAGATCAGGAAAATGAGGAGAAAATAACACTGACAGAAATTGCAAAAAGGTAGGGAATGGCACAGTGATGCACACCTGTAATCCCAGGAATGTATAATCCCAGAAAGACTGCAAGCTCAAGCTCAGACTATACAACTCAGAAACTAAGCAAAACTCTACCAATACAAAAAGTAAAAAGGAATGGGGATATAGCTCAGAGTAAAGGCCTTAGGCTAAATATCACAATTTTTTTAAAAAGTGAGGAGAGGATGAAGAGGATCAATATTTAAAACACTTGGAGCCTCAATACCACCAATAAATAATTTTGGAAAGGAAGAAGCTTCTTTTACCCACTGAATATTGATTGTATGACAGGCACTTGCAACAGGCTGTGACTACAGAGTCCACTCTACTCAACAGTATAACTTTGATATGTTCAATTGTCAATGGACAATCATGGTCCAAAAACAGTAAAGGAGGGGGCAAAAAAATCTACTCATAAAACTTAAATTGTGGGACACTTCTAATAGTATGATGAAATCTTGTCCTTTCTTTCTCTATATTTTCCAGAAATATGAACTATCCCTTTGTCCACTGTTTGCACATTGTATATGCTACTCACCTTTAAATCATGTATTAAAATCATGTAGTCATTATTCTTCAAGGAACCCTTATTCTACTTAACAATGGCAATAATGTTGGCCATTCAGATATGAAGTAAAGTGCTCACTTTGAGTTCAAAAGTGAAAATTGTTGACTTAAGAAAGAAGAAAATTAGTATGATGAGGTTGCTGAGATCTATGGCAAGTTTATCTGTTACTGTGTCTAACTTACACGATAAACTTTTATCTTGTTTGTGCATAGGAAAAGCATAGCACACATTGACTTCAACATGGTCTGTGGTCACAGGCATCCACGGGCATCTTGAAATATATCCCCCTAGAGAAAGGAGGCACAACTGCAAATAAAACAGTAGAAAAGCATAAGCTTGGCAGATTTGATTATTGTCAGTCAATACTACAGCTCCTTATCAGATCTGTTTGGGGAGAAAGAGTCTAGTTCCTCTTCAAATAACATCACACTGGGTTGAGGACTTTATCCGGCCAATACAACATGAGTGGAAATGATCCACACTACTTCCAAACCAAAGCCATGACGGCCATCACATAGACCTACCATTTCTTTTCCCTCTGCCATGAGGGAATGCAACCTTCTAGCCTGGGGCTACTTCTTCAACTCAGATCCCTGAATAAATGGAACATGCAGACCAAAGCTGCTCACATGTTAAAGAGTGATCACACACATCTATTTGGATGGCCACTGTTATATCGCTAGCTCATTTCTTACACTACCTGATGAAATGAATGATTACTAATAGTGGAAATGCTGACAAGTGGAGCAGATTGAAATCCAACAGTAACAACAACAAAAAGCCAGTCAACAACAAAAATCCAACAGTAACAACAATTAAAAGCCAGCTGTTAATGAGAAGAAAAGCACTAAAGGCATTTACCGAAATGTCTCTGAAAAGAAATCAGACTGGGAAGAGTAAAGGTAAAGGGGATGATGAGACAACAGAAACCTAAATGATGGAAAGAAATGGAACGGTAGTAAAAAAGAGTGACTCCAAGCCTCAGAACCAGCTGTCCCATCAGATAGCAGACAATTAA